GCCTCTCCGACAGGAACGGTGTAGGGAGACAGCCTCCTACAGGAACGGTGTAGGGAGACAGCCTCCGACAGGAACGGTGTAGGGAGACAGCCTCTCCGACAGGAATGGTGTAGGGAGCCTCTGACAGGAATGGTGTAGGGAGACAGCCTCTCTGACAGGAATGGTGTAGGGAGCCTCTGACAGGAATGGTGTAGGGAGACAGCCTCTCTGACAGGAATGGTGTAGGGAGCCTCCGACAGGAACGGTGTAGGGAGACAGCCTCCGACAGGAACGGTGTAGGGAGACAGCCTCCGACAGGAACGGTGTAGGGAGACAGCCTCCGACAGGAACGGTGTAGGGAGACAGCCACCGACAGGAACGGTGTAGGGAGACAGCCTCTCCGACAGGAACGGTGTAGGGAGACAGCCTCTCCGACAGGAACGGTGTATGGAGACAGCCTCCGACAGGAACGGTGTATGGAGACAGCCTCTCCGACAGGAACGGTGTAGGGAGACAGCCTCTCCGACAGGAACGGTGTAGGGAGACAGCCTCTCTGACAGGAACGGTGTAGGGAGACAGCCTCTCCGACAGGAACGGTGTAGGGAGACAGCCTCTCCGACAGGAACGGTGTAGGGAGACAGCCTCTCCGACAGGAACGGTGTAGGGAGACAGCCTCCGACAGGAACGGTGTATGGAGACAGCCTCTCCGACAGGAACGGTGTAGGGAGACAGCCTCTCCGACAGGAACGGTGTAGGGAGACAGCCTCTGACAGGAACGGTGTATGGAGACAGCCTCTCCGACAGGAACGGTGTAGGGAGACAGCCTCTCCGACAGGAACGGTGTAGGGAGACAGCCTCCGACAGGAACGGTGTAGGGAGACAGCCTCCGACAGGAACGGTGTAGGGAGACAGCCTCCGACAGGAATGGTGTAGGGAGACAGCCTCTGACAGGAACGGTGTAGGGAGACAGCCTCCGACAGGAATGGTGTAGGGAGACAGCCTCCGACAGGAATGGTGTACGGAGACAGCCTCTCTGACAGGAATGGTGTAGGGAGCCTCCGACAGGAACAGTGTAGGAAGACAGCTTCCGACAGGAATGGTGTAGGGAGACAGCCTCCAACAGGAATGGTGTAGGGAGACAGCCTCTCTGACAGGAATGGTATAGGGAGCCTCTGACAGGAATGGTGTAGGGAGACAGCCTCTCCGACAGGAACAGTGTGTGCCTTGAGAGAATGGGTTCCTTGAGAGGGTAGGAAATGATTCTGAAGACTTCTTAACATGACAGTGGTGCTATGCAGGTTGAAAAAAAATCAATTCTATTATTTCAGAATTCTACTTTCTGCTTCCTTTCCAATCATAGCTCACTCAGCCTCACTGTGGCTGGGATTACAGGTGTGTGCAACTGCGCCCCCACCACATCAATTATTGCATTTGATCACAAAATACAGCAATTACAAAACAATTTTACTATGTCTAATTCTGTGTACTAGGTGGTTCTGCGAAGGAACAGGCAGTCCTTGGGTCTGAGTTGAAAACAGCTTAAGTTCAGTCTCTCCAAGCACTGGTTAGCTGCATGCAACACGGCACATCCACGGATGCTGTACTCTGAAGAAGTCAGGTTCACTAGTGACAGATAGAAAGACACCCTGGGTACGGCCTGTCATCCTGGGAGTTTGGGAGGGATGGCTCGAGTCCAGGAGTTTGAGACAATATAGAAATATAGTCTGGACAATATAGAAAGACCTCTGTCTATACAAAAAATTAAGTTAAAAAAAGACCACCCTGGCAACAGAGAGACCCTGTTTCTATGAAAGAGATCCCTCTTTTTTTTTTTTCTGAGACAGAGTCTCACTCTGTCACCCAGGCTGGAATGCAGTGGCATGATCTCGGCTCACTGCAACCTCCCAGGTTTAAGTGAGTCTCCTGCCTCAGCCTCCTAAGTAGTTGGGATTACAGGAGTGCACCACCACTCCTGGCTAATTTTTGTATTTTTAGTAGAGACGGAGTTTCACCATGTTGGCCAGGCTGGTCTTGAATTCTTGATCTCAAGTGATTTTCCTGCCTCACTTTCCAGGTAGGTAGGATTACAGGTGCATACTACCTAACCTAGTTTATCCCACATTTTTAAATCGAAATTTTTATTCCCTTCTCTGGGAGAAATACAGAAAGGACTAAAACAAAGTGGTTTTCACTTGTTTGCATGTTGGAAGTGAGACTGCCTTTAGCTACTCTTTTCCAATATTGCTATAAATTAAACTAATTTTAAAGTGACCAACTTTCCTACCAAGCTTACTGCGCTATCTAAAGGCCCTTGTGGTCTAAAAGCCAAAGGTCAAATCATGTGTTAAAGATAAATGGTGCTGTTATTATTATGTGGGTGTTCGCCATGTTTAGGCAGTGTGTTGGTTTTACTTGGTTTATTCACTTAACACCTGGCTGGAGTGCCTGTTATATCTCAGGAACCGTGATAGTCACTGGGGAAGCAGAAGTCAGGAAGAGCCATGGAGGAGGCTAGTAGTAAAGATAGAAATGAAGACAAACAGACACAAAAATGCCTGAGAACTGGCCGGGCACAGTGGCTCACACTTGCAATCCCAGCACTTTGAGAGGCTGAGGTGGTGGGTGGATCATTGGAGGTTAGGAGTTCGAGACCAGCCTGGCCAATATGGTAAAACTTTGACTCTGCTAAAAATACAAAAATTACCTGGGCATAGTGGTGGGCACCTGTAATCTCAGCTATTCGGGAGTCTGAGGCAGGAGGATTGCTTGAACCTGGGAGGTGGAGGTTGCAGTGAACCAAGATCAGGCCACTGCACTCCAGCCTGGGCGACAGAGCGAGTCTCAGTCTCAAAAGAAAACACATGCCTGAGAATTGTTGTGTTACCAAAAAGAAATCACAGAGCGCCATAGGAGTCCCTGGGCATTTGGCTGCACCAGCTTTCCATAGCTTTCCAACAATGCTCTTATCGTGCCCACTGCACAGGTGGGGAAACTGGGGGGTTATAAAACTTGGTTTTGTAACCTCTTGCTCCATAAATATATAACTATTTAAGTAGTTATATATTTAAATAGTTATACATTTATGGAGGGATGGATGCTCTCTCTTTTTCTTTCAAGCCCTATGGGCACGGCTAGCCCATCTCAGTTATAAACATATAACTATGTATGGGGCAAGAGGTTACAAAACCGAGTTTTATAGCCTCCCAGTTTCCCCACCTGTGCAGTGGGCACGATAAGAGCATTGCTGTAAAGCTTATGGAAAGCTCCATAAATAGAGCCTATTTATGGGGCAAGAGGTAGGTTACAAAACTGAGTTGCCCAAACTTTACGTGTTCTTACCACCCCATCTCCTCCCTGGCTTGGAACTTCCGTGCTTAAGATTCCAGATGGACCTTTATTTTTGAGACCTTAGAATCGGTTTAGGTTTATATGCTCCAGAATGCACCAGAAATGTCAGGAAGGGCACAGCCCTGGGTGAAGGGGGGTGCGTTGTGCCAAGAATTTCGTATGAGAAGCCAGCTCAACAGTGAAAGGTGGTGATCATTTTTCAAGTGTTCTTGGTTTTTCATGTGTCATAAAGTTGCATTATTCAGGAATAACCCCGAATCAAATTAAAACATCTTTGAAAGTCTGAAATAAAAAGCTTACTGATGCATGCTTACAAATGGCTGCCATACCTTCCCTGTGGCCTCAGGGCTGGAAGGCTGTGTTTTTTCAGAGGTGACCAGGGACCATCCAAACACAGCTTCCTTCTGTTAATGTGACGTTCTCTTAACCAGCATAATGCTTCTGGTTTCATTCAGAGAGTGAATTCCTTCATTATCTGGGCAGGTGTGGTTCCACCTACTTACAGCAATGAGGGGCCACCTTCATCCTAACCCATAGGGTACAACTGGCCACGGCCTTGCCTATCCGTGTAACTCACAATTGTCATGCTACAGCCACGTGGGCTGCCCTGGCTTGGGCCATGTTTCCTTGGCTCCCTAGGAGGGGTGGTGGTTATAACCATGTTCTGCAGTCCCAGTGAAGTACCCCAACCATGTGGGGAAAAGTCAACATGTTTTTTGGGGCAAGGTCAGCGCACATGGGCAGGGTATCCTGGCAATGAAGCAGTGGTGTGCCTCCCAGGGACCCCAGGGCAGTAGCCACACTGCTGGCACACACCTCAGACTCTAGGCAGCAGCCGCTACCTCCAGGATTCAATTCCCAGTTCCATAGCCCACTCTGTTCTCCCACGCTTCACCTCGCTCCAGAAGAAAGCTTTGTTTAATGCTTCAGCAAACTGCTGTGGGCCTGGAAAGCCTTCCAGGCAGAGACATTCTAATTAGTATTGTGGCTTTGCTGGGAAAACCATTTTCCAGGCCTTGAAAAACTTCTGATGATTCTCTAATTTTTTATAAGGGTCCCTGGGCCATCTCAGCCAGGAAGCTGGTTTCACTTAGGTTTTTGAATCAGAAATGCAGGAATTTTCCGCTGGTAGTGGCTGGAGCTGCCTTGAGATGAGTGAGCAGCAGGTGAACTCTCCCACCTCCCACCATCACCAGCCTGGATCAGAAGGGGAGAAGGAACACACTTGCACATTTTACAACCAGACCCCATGGTAGAAAAGGGCCCTTGATAGTGGGTCTTGAGATAGATGAAAAAAAGAAAAGAAGGGCCGGGCACGGTGGCTCACGCCTGTAATTCCAGCACTTTGAGAGGCTGAGGTGGGTGGATCACGAGGTCAAGAGATTGAGACCATCCTGGCCAACATGGCGAAACCCCGTCTCTACTAAAAGTACAAAAAATTAGCCGGACGTTGTGGTGTGTGCCTGTAATCCCAGCTACTCGGGAGGCTGAGGCAGGAGAATTGCTTGAAACCGGAAAACGGAAGTTGCAGTGGGTCGGGATCAGGCCACTGCACTCCAGCCTGGCGATAGAGCGAGACTCTGTCTCAAAAAAAAAAAAAAGAGCCCTCGCTTGCTGCACCCCCAGCCACTGCCCATGGATGTCATCAGTTCGTCCTTCCCCTTGTTTATTCAGTATTGTTCCAGCATCCCCCGTGTGCTAGGCGGGGGCCTTGGCTTGGGAGCAGTGGTGCACCCTGACGTCTGGTTCTGTCAGGGGAGACAGAGCATGGACAAATGAGCAAAGGGACCCCGAAATGTCAGGTGGCAATGCTGCCCCAGCAGGATCAAAATCGGGGGGCTGAGGTGTGGGAGGTCGTGTGCACTAAACAGGGCGTCAGGGAAGGGGAGGTGGTCTCTGAGCAGAGAGTTGGGTGTAGTCAAGGGAAGTCCCATGAATATCTGGGAGAGGTTCCTTCCAGGCAGAGGGAAGGGAAGGAGCAGGTCTTGAAATGACATGGGCCTGGCCTTTGGAAGGAGCACCTGAAGGCTGGCATGGGGGTAGGGACTGGCTGCAGTCCTCTGTCATGGGGCACAATCTTTAATCTCTGATAAGTAGCTCTTATCCATGGAGCTGTCATGGATAAATGCTTTCTACAGTTATTGGTGGAGCACTGGGTCCTGTTCCTTTCTACGAGAGCAGCCATTCCCAACTGGGTGTGACTTTGCTTCCCACAGGACATTTGGCAAATCTGGAGACACTGCACAACTTGTGTGTGTGTGGCTTTGCTGGGAAAACCATTTTCCAGGCCTCAAAATACTTCCAGGGGTGCTCCTGGCATCCAGTGGGTAGAGGCCAGGGGTCCTGCTAAGCATCTCAAGGTGCACAGGACAGTCTCACAGCAAGGAATTAGCTAACCCAAAATGCCAGGTGAGCTGAGGTTAAGAACCCTGAGTCCAAACAGGAGTGTCAGCAAGCACGGGGAAGGTTGTACGTTTTGACTGACAGTCACTGGGACCAGGCTCTGGAGGGCCTTGTGGGGTGGTGGAAGGCATGTGGGGAAAAGGTGCCTTGGCCTCTGCAAATCCTTCTCCCGTGGGAGAGAAGCTTGCATGGCTCACAGGTGGGACCCACCCCCACAGTGACAGGGACAGAGCAGACCACTGCCTGGGCCACTGCTTTGGCCTCTCATAGAGTTTAACAAAGACCAATGTCAGAGCCTGAGATCATGAGCTCTGGCCTGGGATGGATGGTCAGATGCTTTCTCTTTCTCTTTCAAGACCCAAGACCCAAGGCTCGCCCATCACACAGCAGTGTTCACTGGGCTAAGCCATTTGCGCACATTGACCCGTGATCTGCCCTCTGCTACAGCCTATTTTCGACATGGCAGCGCTGAGCAGTAAGCAGGTGCATTCCTGCTGCAGGGTGGTCACCTTTGCTGTGATCTGCCTGGAATGCTCCCTCCTCACTTCTCCTGCCCTTCCACCATCCGGGCCTCAGCTGGAACACTGTCCCCATGCAGAGGCTGCTACCCCTCCAGGATGGTTCCCTCATCCTTGTTTTTATACCATTTACCAGCTTAATTGAAAACAAGCTACTCAAATGAAGAAGTGCTTGTAGTATAATTAAATTACTTTGGTCTTGGAAACAAAAAATGGAGGACCCTCCTCCCCAGGACAATTTTGGGGAAGAAGCTTCCGGTTAAACCACCAGCACCCAAAGCTGAAATTCTACTTAAACGATTCCCTGATTTTTATACTTGGGGTACAATAAATATATTTAACTGCTCTGGTGGTATTGACATATACGCAAGCCTGGCTGCTGCCCCTACTGCTGCAACTGGCCTCCTGCCCCTCAGAGCAGGATCCTAAGTCCCAGTCTCCCAGGCCCTTTTTCCCATCTTCCCTGTGCCTTCCTTCTCCCCATCTTTATTAAAAAAAAAAAATACCTGCCCCGTGTCATAGGCCCCTCAGGTGCCAGCTCAATTGAGGTGTCCATGGCTGGACAGAGGTCTGATGTGCTTCTTGGTGCAGAAGGTGCTGGGTGGGAAAGGAGGAAAGGGTGGGAAGGGAATAGGGGGAACAGCAACTGGGGCCTGGGAGGGAGAGGGCAGGGAGCACTCTGGAGGGCGGGCAGGCTCACCTCCTGCCCTTTCTGGGTTGGTACCTGCCCCACCTGATGCTGCCTGAGTTGGCATCCTGTCTGTCCCTGCTAGGCTGTGAGTCTGCCAGGCCCGCGTGGTTACCCCAGGAAACGGGAGCTGCACGAAGCCGCGTGCAGAATCGCGTGGGAGTTTAATAATCCCGGCTGGTGACTGCTGTCCCACCCGCTGCTGCGTTCCTCCCCATCAGAACCCTCACAGGCCTTCCCTTCAACCCGACGCTCCAGCTTCTGAGGGCTGTCCGTTCTCTGAAGGGATTCTACACCTTTTAGGCTCTGGACTCCATGTTCCTAATTTTTTTGGGGGAGGGGTCTCTCCCCACTCCCCATTAGCTCACGTCATCTTTATGCAAGAAGGATCACATGTCGGCTGTGGGGAAGAAAGGGCTGGCACTGCTCTGAAGCTAATGAAGTTATGACATTAAGGAAAATAAGTCGGCTTCATTGGGCTTGGGGTAGGCACCTGAGCATTGGGAATTTTAAGAGCTTCCCAGGAGATTTTACTGGGCAGCCAGGGTTGAAGATCACTGAATTGGATGATATGTCCTCAATTCTAAAAAAATGTGTATTTGTCTACGTAAATATATGAATATTTTTCCAGCCAGAGAAAGGTGGGGTCCCATTGGCTTCATCTCCTGCGGCCCCTCCCCCTCATTATGGCTGTGACACATCAGTATTCAGTCACCTGGGGGCTGCCTGTCACTGTGTGACCCGGGACAGGCCCCCTGACTTCTCTGTCCCGGGTCGTCTTATCCGTGAAATGGGACTCGTCAAGGCACCGGCTTCATTCGCTCGTCACTGCGCAGCCCCGCAGCGCCCCACGCCGTGCATGACCTTGGCGCATTCCTCTAACCAAGCGTTTGGCTGTGAAGGTAGCATCTCTTTTTACAACGATCTGGTGGTGGTGGCTGGGGGTTGGGGGGTGTCCTTTCCGGGGGCGTCTGGGGTTTGAGACGCGCAGGGCCCGGCGGCCCTCCCTCTCCTGAGAGTGTTTTCAAAGTTAACTTTGGGACCGTTCCCGCGAGGGCCGCACGGAAACTCAAAGAACCGGCCTTAGGGGATCCGAGCAAATTCCACCGTCGTCAAGTCCTGGTGCTCCGTGAAAGATGCTCTTCCCCTCGGGGCTTCGGAGCCGGAGCATTTGTCGACAGTTCCTGCCTCTTTACCCGGCTGCCGGCGCGAGGGTCCCGCCACCTCCAGGAGCCGCCCCCACCCCGCGCCCCGCAGCCCGCGCCGCCCCGTGCGGCCCGCGGTCCTCCTCACCTATCAGATTTCCTGTGCGCACCGCCGCGCGCTCCTCCCACCTCTTAAACGCGGAGCGGAGCGGGGCGGAAAGCCATCCTCGGCCTGGACCCAGCGCCTCCGGGGACCTGCTGCCCGCCCCCTGCGTCGGCGGGCCGGGATGCGGCTCTGAGCCCGCGGCGGCTTCCAGCCCGCCCGTGGCTGCCCGGGGCTGCCCCACGCACGGTAAGGCCCGGGGCGGGGGCGCAGGGCGCGGGGCTCGCGGGCCGGGAGCGCGGGGCCGGGTGCTGCGGCGCGCGGGGGCGTGGGTGCCGGGCGCAGGGGACCGCGGCGCGGCCGCGCACTGCAGGCGTGCTCTTCTGTTTTCCTTCGCTCCTTTTTAAATGAAGGGAAAGGAAATTGTGGCAGACCAAATGTCATCAAACTTGATGTGAAAACGTATTCATTTATAAAGTCTTACCGCTGCTCACGCCACGCACCGAGGAAGTTGTGTCCCCGGGTGGGCACGGTGCGGACACAAGACTGAGGGAACCAGCACTGGATGGAAACACAATTAAGAAGAATAGCCCCATCTTAACAACAGCAAAACAAACTCCGAAGCACAAGGCGGCAGGCCGCTCCAGCGGCGTGGTGGGGGGGAGGGTGGGGGTTGTGGAGGGGGCTGATAGGCAGGATGGTGAGAAAGGCAGCTTTTCATTAAGCGTGACACCAGGGGTTTTGACTTTGGGAGGACCAGAAGGGAGCCTGTAGGTCATTGCTAAATACAGCGAGGTACCTTAAGGCTCAGTAATCAACATTATTTTAAAAACAATATCTGTACCAGGTGTGTATGTGTGTGTGCGTCTGCATGTGTGCGCAAACACCACCCAGTCTAGCTTTCCTTCGTGGTTTGGTTTCATTTTTTTGTTTAGGTTTCTGATTTTGAGGGATAAATACAGCTTCCAAATAACAGCAACTGAATCTGCAGTAATCAGATGTTGGAAAAGTATTTTGCACTCATCCTTTATGTTAGCATAACAAACCTGTCTTTGTTATATGTGGCCACCTGTTGTAAATATTAACAGTACCTCTCATCTCCATATCTCCCCCATTTACTATTTTTGTCTTTTTCAAAGAGATGGGAGATGGAGGAGGAGTAGAATTTAATGAAGACACAGATCTGCAGAAGTGTCATATTTCGTTTGGTGCCTGGGGTAGGCAGTGGCTGCTGTTGAGAGTATTTTACAGAGTGGCATTTGTGAGTAAATGCATGCTGATTCTGCTCATCTCTACACGTATCTTTTGTGGGGTTTCCTCTTTAAAACAGGTGCATATAATATGCAAATTTGGTTTCAAAGCATTTTATATCTTTCTTTTAAGGAATGATTGCATATGTATGAAGTCTTGTTTCCTATCTCCTTTCATTTTTTTTCTTCTTTTTTAAAATCAGCCTGTCTTAAATAGTTTCTTTGTTAGGTAAATTTTAAAATAATAAAAATCTGGTGTGTTCAGGAAGGAGCTCCGTGTGAGGCCTATGGAGGTTACCTCCTGGAAATGCAAAATCTCGGAAAGAGATGTTTCACTACGCTCTTACCTTAGAATATTGACAAGGACAAGGCTCCTTTGCAAAGGTTCTTCCAGACAGGGGCATGCATCCATTCTTTTGTAGGATTTTTAAGTGGGTACTTTGAATAAACAACGGCCACCTTTAATAGTTGATTTTACAAGATTCTGCATACTTCACCATGGCCAAACTTCTCCACACGGAGGGTAACCTTCATCCATTCAGCAGGGGACACCAGGGTGTAGCCTTCCCTCCTCTGCCCCTGGACAGCTGCAGATTCAGGCCAGTTCAGACGGGTCCCAGAAGGGTTTCAGGGTCTCCGTCTTCTCCTTTCTGGGCATGGAACTGGCATTGGGCTCTGAGCCCAGTAGTGGCATCCCAGGGAACTCCCTCTGCCCCCATGCATGCTTGTCCGTCTAGCTGGGCATCTTGATCAGATTTCTGCTTGGTTTTCTGCCAGGCCTAGAGCCTAATCCTGAATCCTGGTTCCAGTGACTTTGAAAAGCTGCCTGGGCTTTATCAGCCTCTCTCCCCGGGTGAGCGGGATGCCTGTGAGGATGGGATCCCTCCTTGGACCTGACAGAAGCCTACCTCCCTGACTCTAACAGCCTTGTTCCTGGGCCCCACCCAAGCTTGGTGGCCCTGGGTGAACCCAGGTTTACAGCCTGTGTTCATTGTTCTTCTGTTCACCTTTCCTCTTCTATGCCTTAACTTTCCTCTGCTGCCCCTTCCTGCTCCCAGGTAAGTCTTTGGACTTGGTGAGGGCTCCCCTCTTCCTTGTTAATATCAGGCTCTTCTCTTTTGCCCTGGTCTGGGGATAGGGTTCCGTCAAGTTTTCTGGCTCTTCTGAGTTTCGACAATGCTTTTTTGCCTGTGGAAGGAGGAAGTGAACTGACCGTGTATCTGAAGCTAATGAAAGGTGAAGGGCAGGGCGGGTAAGATGATTTATAGAGATTTTTAGAACTAACATGGTCTTCAGTTGAAAACCAGAATTAGGAGCTCTGAGTATCATGCAGGTGCAGGGAGATGGATTTGAAAAACAAATCAGCTGGAATTTTTATATTTAATTTTGAACATCATCCCGTATCCTCAGGAGAATACATCCGAGCCAGAAGTCATTTGGGACCAGGCTGGGTAAATAAAGGCGCCCATCATCCATTCATGCATTAAATAGATATTCTTGCAGAGATAAATAGCTCAGGCTCTGCAGCCCGATACCTGGGTTCAAATCCCAGCGTTGACAGGTTCTTGTTGTATGACCTTGGGCAAGTTAGTTAATTTCCCTATGGCTTAGTTTCCTTAACTGAAATTGAAGAGAATAATAGTACTTATTTCATAGGGGTGGTTGTGAGGATTACATGGTTCCGTATATAACAAGGAACAGTAGAACAGTGTCAGGTATATACATGCTGTATGAGTTATAGCTATTGTTGGTATTATGACTTATTGTATGCCAAGCACTTTACCATGCTGAGTAATAATTGTTTTGGATCAAGAATGAGATATGGAAAGAAGGAAGCAAAACTAGTTTCTCTTACTTAATTTAAAAGCATAATACAGTCTGAAAAGTAATTGCCAAAAAGTTGTGAGAAAAATACTGTGAGCAGCAGTATTTTTTTTAATCAGATGACTAACATCAGGGGAACAATATTTAGTTTGTTATTTAAATTTTGGTCTGTGTTTTTTGTTTAAGCTGTAGACACAGGCGGGAAGATTGCTTGAGCCCAGGAGTTCAAGACCAGCCTGGACAACATAGCAAGACCCGGTGTCTTAAAAAAAAAAAAAGAGATCTGATTTTTTATAATTATCGGAAACCATTCCTCAGTGTTACTATTTGCAATGCTCTCTCTTTTTTTCTTACCGTTTCTAAATTATTTATTTTTCATAGAGGTGTTTTGGTGATTGGTGTGCTTCCTCAGCTCTACAATTTCCCTTTTTAATCTCATTCTGTCTCCTTGTCATCGCTGTGACCCTGTTTTGTTGACTTCCTGTTCTTAGTTTCTTGTAGCAACAAATCATTTACTGTGAAAACTTTTAATCCGCTGCTGGGAGAGTATTTTCTTCCACGCCGTGGCTTCTTCACTTGTCTTCCGCATGTTTCCTTTTCATCCCTTTCCTCCTTCCTTTCTGCAGTATTTGCGCATATTTGCTCTGCCATTTCTTTATTTGTCAAGCATATTTAACAGGGGCAGGTTCACCTGAGTCTTTAGATAACAGTTTTTTTGAATTGTCCTTTATTGCTTCTCTCTTATGTGAACTTCATTTCCTTCCCAGAACTTCCTTTGGAGATGTGGTTTATCAGCTTTTCTGTGGCCTGAGGATAAGGAGTAGTAGGAGCAGCGGGAATGGTGGATAATCATGATTGGTGGATTTAGTCTCTATTCATTTTGATTAAGTTTGTTAATATTTATAATTTTATTAAAAGTTGCTCTCAGGATACACTCAGGTTTTGGATTGCCCCCAAATTCAGCCTGTAACTTAGAGGCATTAAATTTTTTATTTTTCAAATTATGAAGTACTTCGAACATGCAGAAGTGAAATAATAATAGAAAAAGCACATGTGAGCCCACATCCCAGCTCTGTTGGGTCCTAGTGCTTGGCCATACTTTAAGCAAGATTTAAAAGAGAAGACAATATGAAAGCCTCGTTGAAGCTTCTTCTGTCCCCTCCCCAGTTCTCCCCACCCCCTTTCATCCTTTCACACTGTCCTAATTATTACTGTCTTTCCCGCACGTGTTTCCACATCACTTCCATATATGAATCTGTGATTCATCATGCTATTGAGTTCAATATTTCAAGCTCTTTAAAATGGTTTCATACGGTCATACCACGGCTCTTTTTGATTCATTGTTTTTAACATTTATCCATGTTGAAACATAGCTTGTATTAGTCCATTTTCATGCTGATATAAAGAAATTCCTGAGACTGGCTACTTTATAAAGGAGAGAGGTTTTTTTTTTTTTTTAAATTATACTTTAAGTTCTGGAATACATGTGCTGTGAAGATTTGCTGCACCCATCAACCCATCATCTACATTAGGTATTTCTCCTAATGCTATTCCTCTGCTTGCCCCCCAACCCCCTGACAGGTCCCAGTGTCTGATGTTCCCCTCCCTGTGTCCATGTGTTCTCATTGTTCAACTCCCACTTATGAGTGAGAGCATGTGGTGGTTGGTTTTCTGTTCCTGTGTCAGTTTGCTGAGAATGATGGTTTGTAGCTTCATCCATGTCCCTGCAAAGGACATGAACTCATTCTTTTTTGTGGCTGCATAGTATTCCATGGTGTATATGTGCCACATTTTCTTTATCCAGTCTATCATTGACGCACATTTGGGTTGGTTCAAAGTCTTTGCTATTGTGAACAGTGCTGCAGTAACCATGCATGTGCATGTGTCTTTATAGTAGAATGATTTTGGATATATACCCAGTAATGGGATTGCTGGGTCAAATGGTATTTCTGGTTCTAGATCCTTGAGGAATCGCCACACTGTCTTCCAAAATGGTTGAACTAATTTACCATTGCATTAGGGTAAAAGCATTCCTGTATCTGCACATTCTCCAGCATCTGTTGTTTCCTGACTTTTTAATGACTACCATTCTAACTGGCGTGAGATGGTATCTCATTGTGGTTTTGATATGTATTTCTCTAATGACTAGTGATGATGAGCTTTTTTTCATATGTT